ACTCTTTCCTAGTCCCATGTGCTCCTAGTGTCATGACATGAACTGTGCTTCTTTTTCTTGTGCTTTGCATTATCCACGCGTTCTTACAAAATTAAGATCCTACAGCTTGGTCTACTCAGCTGGAGCTCATAAGTGGTCTCACAGAGCTCATTAGAGAAGTGTCACTCTTTGAAATAAAAATCACAGGACACAGCCAGGGAATCTCAGCTGCCCCATGCAACTATCTGTTGTGGCTATATATGACTCCTAGACAGTTTACAAATCCTCATGGCCATCAGTAGCCAAGGACCTTGTCCCAGAAAATAATCCAGGTTCTCTTGTATTGGACTGAATTGTATTATAAAGGAGAACTTGGATTATATATAAAATACAATATTATACTTGATTCTTTGCTGGGATAGGTTCCTCAGCTGCATATGCGCACACACACATCGCCATCTATTCAGTAGATCCCACCTGCTGAAACTGATTGAGCATACTGAGAAGTATATAATGAAGAAAAAAGTATATGTTGAAATATGCTCTTAGTTCTAGTTTTAAAGAGAATCACACCCTGAAGGATCCTATATGCTATAATTTTTATTTCAAAATAATCTGAGATTTTTACATCTTGATTTTACTCTGCACTTCAAAGATTTTAGTCCAAAAGAAACACATACCTGATTCTGGTGTTCGGACAATTGCACTGTCAATATAACCTGCTTCAGTGGTAACTGCAGAGACCTCAAAAAGGTAAGTGGTGTATGGTCTAAGATTAGTTACAACAAAGCTAATTGGTTCATTCCAGACAGAGCTCATTTTACTAGGTGCTATCGTAACTGGTGTAAGCGTAGTCTGTGAAGGAACTGTAGATTTTCCAAAAGTTGTTGAAGGTGTTGTGGTACTCCACAAAAATGATTCACTGTTATCCTATGAAGACAAAATAAGAACCAAAATAAGAACCATGAAAAGCTAAATCTTTAACTTAAACATTTTGTTTTAATCAGCATGGATTTGGAGCTACCTAATAAGTCTTTCTATTACATACATATTACATATCATTATATAGATATTGTATAGAGATGAGAGTTTCAGTTCCTAGCAAGATAAAAATAGTCTGCAAGGGTCAGTTTGAAAATAACATCTCTTAAGTGAGTCATGAACATGGAAGGTGCTCTTCTTATTAACTTCCTGCCTAAGGTAAGAGTAATAAACTCATTGGTCTGTCTCAAGACCCATCCAAAGTGCCCAACAGAGACATGCCTCAGATACTACTTCTGTATGACAGTGCTAGTACACACAGCAACTTGAGGACCACAATGGCAATATAATTGAGTGGGTGGACAGTGCTGCCTACAGGATGAAGGCTCCACTATGATGGCAACTTTTTTGGGATGACAGCAAAGTGATGGTGGCTGTGCAACAGTGGCTGCACAACAAGGACAAGGACTTTTACAATGTCAGGAAATGTGCCCTTGGTCAGCTGTGTAAAAAGGCTATTAATGGAAAAGGAGACTATCTTGAAAAATAATTGTATTCAGAAATGAAGTGCAGATTCTGTGCAACATTTTCAATAATATTGTCTGACAATAAAAGTAAAAGGCATTACTTTGACTGACCCTTGTATAAAAGCCTAAGAACAAGAAAAACCCAAACAAACAAGAAAAAATGGAAGCCTTGGGCATGCTCTTAGGAAAAGAATTCCATGCAAAAATCTTGGTAAATAGAGAAATCTGCCAGATAATTTGATTTTCACAACATCAAAAAAGTAAACTGAAAAACATGGTAAAATAAATTAAATTTAAAAAGTGCAGTACCAGACATGTAATGGCAAATATGTGTGGACACAAATATTATAAAAATATATTTGAATATAAGTTTTCCTTTCTGTGTGTCAGTAAATTCAGGTTGTTAGCATCTTTCCCGATTTGACACTGGTAATAACTCACCCAGTGTAAGCTAGGCAGTTCATTCCATCTTATTAGGTCTCTTTTACAATACAAACTCATGAATACAGATTAACTAAATGAAACAACTAATGTTCATTAAATATTCCTAGAGTTTCTTTCCAGGATTCAGCTACTTGACTCAATGAGTTTCCCAGTAACTAATTTAAAAGTGTATGCTTCTACTATATTTTAAGTCCAAGAAGCACTAATCAGCTTAATCAGTAAGGATACTGATACTACAATAAATTATGTTAGTGATTCAGCAGGTGGCACTATGCCTTTGCAGTTTGTACTGAACTAACTCAGCCTAAGTATATCTATTTTTCAGGTAAAATCTGAAACTCAAGTCTTTACAAACCATTGCAATTAAAAATGGTACTTCTCATCAGAGATGGATACTAGCTCCACAGTCATGGAAAAATTCCAGCTGAGAGTGGAATTTCCACCCTGCAGGAGAGTTTGACATTTAGAAATTTGTGTTTGCTCTGAATTGGAAAGAAAAGTAAAATATATGGAAATATTTCACAGAATATTTAAAATTCTGAAAATTGTCAATTTGGAAACAGTGAAATACCTAGTTTCAATAATGCGAAATAATTTCATCTTAATAAGGTAATACATTTAATTTCAATATTTCTTTAGTATTATAAATAAGTATAATATACATAAACCATGAGGTATGTTGCATTGTAATACGATGTTAAAATAAATGCAGTATTAAAGTTGACACTCAATTAAATTATGTGTGTACACCTTATCAAAATGAAATGTGCTACCATTATCTCAATGAAGAAAAAAAATGAAACATTTTATACAAAACATTGTTCATATTAATACTTCCCATGAGATTATTAAATTTCAATTAAACTGCATTTTCTACTAGAAAAGTATTCAGTTGAAAATACTGCTAATCTGCTCTAGCTCATAAAGGTCAGTCTTTACCCAAATGTATCAAGTTTTAGGCTTATGTTTTGTACATGGCTTTAAATTCTTTCTTTTATGCAAAGGTATTATATGAGCAAAGGAGAGATTTATTTTAGTCCTGAATCAAATTCCAGGTCCAGAAATCCTCAAATTTTGGGACCATTCAAAATTCAAATCCAAAACAACATTTTGTGGTTCTAATCTAATTTCTAATGAAAATGTTTTTAACACTTACATTACATTCTGGTAACCTCCCAGACAGAAGGTCCTCTACTTTAACAGAGACATCTTTCACTACAATTCCACTTCTTGCATGTTTCACACTAATCTTGAAACTAGTTATCTTTCCATTTGGTTGCCGAGGCAGAAACCAGATCAGATTTACAGCTGAATAATTTAAGGCCTCAACTGTGAGATTCACTACTTTACCTGGAGCTTGGAAACAAAACAAAACAAACAAAACCAATAAGGCATACATTTCTTTGTAGCAAGTATGTATTTCAGAATCAAATCTTTTCTAATCTCAATTGTGATTAAAAAGTAAAGAAAATCTTTTTATTCTTCTTCCTAATATCAGTTTTAAAATGTTATCTACCTAATACTATTATTCAGGACTAAGATATCTGAGGAATCTCTTAAACTTTAAAAGTTGTTTTGCACCCCAACTCTAGAAATAATTTATATTTATTCTCTTACACAAAGGATAGTATCTATTACTTAGCAAAATATTTTTTTCCTCCCTCTGTACGTTTCTTTGAGTTGAATGCATTCTGGAATGCCACTATATCTAATTTCCAAATACTTGGGTAAACACAGCGTGAGCATGTCACAGGAACCAAACTTTCATTAACACCTCCAACTGGTTGATAAGCGATCAGTTAGCTCTCAGTCTAGCTAAAACGAGGGTACAGTAAAAATCAGGCTGACAGAAATGAAGCATTTGGCTCTATTAAAAACATCATATTCTTGTCTGAAAGGACTTCCACCTACTATGTTTAAAGTAGCACTTAAATTTGCTGTAATTCAAAGAGATTAAAAAATATACATCTTTGTCCATTTTTTCAGATGTAGCTTTTCTGACATCACTTTGTGTTCTGTTTTACATGCACATGTACATTGATTGATCATTTCCAGAGCATAGGCAAGGAAAACAGAAAGGGGTGAATGTAAAGCCAATAAAATTGGCAGGAGGGCTCATGGCTTGATATAGGAACTGGAAACACAATTTGAAACTGCTTGGATTTCATATTAATAATGGCCCTTAAAATTTACATTTCAACATCACTGCCTTCTTATGAAAACAAATGTAGCACTTGCTTTTGCAATTAAGATCTAGCAAGCTGAATTCAAGTGAATGAACTGAGTCTGGTTCGGTCTGGCTTTTAAATTTATGTTGTGACATAATGAGAAATTAGAGCTCTAAGACTGAAATCATTTTTTAAAATTTGATTTGGCCTTAGAAAGTTGCTTCTAAATCAAAATGTAATATAGATTAATATAGGTGCAAAAACTAGCAAATTGGACCTGTCACTTTAAAGAAAAATAAAATAAAATGAATATTTGAAAACCTCACCTTTTGGTAACTTAGACACTTTTCATTTAATATTTCCATGTATACCATAGCTATAGTATTTGAGTTATCATTTTCCATGGAAGGCTATTGCATGACTATGAAATACTGTTCTTTACCAGTTTTAGTTGTTCATTGAATAGTCAGTGAATCTGTTTAAATCACACTACAAAGAAATGGAATGCAGCATAATCTTATCTGGAGTATGGAACAAGGACTCAGAAAATCAAGTGTTAGTTTAAACAGAGAAACATCCAGAAGTTCAGGTGATTATCTGAACCTTTGGACCTATGCATCAAAACCAGATTACATAATCTGGAAATAATGCTATACTGTGGAGGTGAATGATAAGTAGATTAATATATGGTAAACATACAGGTTCAACATTTAGAAAATCTTGCATAACTAAAGAGGAAAAGATCCTCCAAGCCTCCTGCTTTAAAGCTCCAGTTCAACAAAGCACTAATCATAGTTTTTCTTTCCATTCTTCATTGCTCTTTTCCAGACAACAGCTCTCATGCTGATGGATATCAACTAATCGAGAACTAGCAATATTAAGTCTTTAATTATTCAAACATTTTGTATCTAAGATAAATTTTGATGTTTTAACTTATATTTTTAAGTGCATTATCCAGTTGTATTTGATCATGATTTGGGGTTTTTTTTTTAATTTTCAGAAAGAAAGCTCTAACTACAAATATAGTATCAGTTACATGAGAAAAAAAATCTCATTACAGTTAAAATGTTAACTGAAATTATAGCTTATAGTGATAATACTTTCTATTTTAAATAAATCATACATAAAAATGATTATGCAAAAATGTTGATGAAAGCAGTAATGCTGGCAAATGGTGCGATTTTATCTTGCTTAAGACTTAAAATATTGACTATGCATTTCCGCATGCTTGCAAAATCAAGTGTAGATTTGTACAGCTACTACACTTGATGCCAGCTATTACTACTAGGGAGAACCACCTCTCTATGGTAAAGGTTCACTGTTTTTATTTATGTCCTATTTCATGTGATGAAACTTTTGCAAAAGTTTAAATTACAGTCACGTAAAGCTCATTGGCAGTCTGGAATGACAAAGTGCTGAACGCATCTTTAATAGACTTCAATGGGAACTGATTGTACTTGCTCATCTCTCATTACATTGAACCTACACAGAATCCCACATAAGCCCTCAATATTGTATAGAACTTTGCATGGGGTTAACCTGTGAGATCAGGAACCCATCATGTAAATTAATAATAATGATGAATTTTATACCACAATATTATGTAATATCAGCTTCGCAATCCTTTTGCATGCTTTGAGAAAGATTCTCATTGGAGACATGCATTATGAATGAGCTTTAGGTATCAAAATGGAGAGCAAGAACACAGTGAAAACTACACATATATTTCTTGGAGCTGTGGGGTACAGCATGCTATGAGGCCTCACTACCACTCCAAGGGGACTCCCCAGGTTCCGGGCAAGCCCTAGAGCTGCTCCTGCCCTGCTCCAGCCATGGGCTGCAGGGAGCAAATCACAGGGTGCTGGACTCTGTTGGGAACAACAGTGAAAGTGGGTGGGTTTCTTCTTCCTGCACCTGCTGCTCTCCCACCCAGATTCCCACTGGCTGGGAGCAGGGGCAGAAAGGATGAACCCATGTCTCACTGCCACCACTGTCCTTGGCTAACAAAGGAACAGGGCTGCCCCAGAGCTACTTTCACACCATCCCAGGCATGGGGTACAGGAAGCAGCTGTGCAGGTGCTCAGCTCAGCTGGGAACAGCAGCAGCAGCAGCACAGGTTCCTCCTCCAAGTGCCTGCTCTCAGCCAGCAAGGGACATCTGAGTGAGGGCAAGGAGAGAGTAGCAAGGAAGCTGCCCACTGACGCACTGTCCCAGGCCAAGCATGGCATCCCACACAGCTACTCCCCATGGCCCCTGGCTGGAGTGGGAAACTAGCAGCTCTCAGCCTCCTGCCATATCCAGGTCATCAGCATCAGTGAGTAGGTGCCCCCTTAGTGCTCCTGCCCCCTGCTCAACTCCCTGGTGTTCCTGGCTGCCCCAGAACTCCAGCCACACTGTGGCCCCACATCCTGCCATGCTCTGAACAGTGGTATGCTGCACCCCCTTTAGAAAAACATAGATCTGCCCATGCCCAGCACCAACCAAAGAAGCTAAGCTGGGCACAAAATTGTTATGCAAGAAACCTGACACTGCACAGTTTCTGTAGCCATGGCCAGCATAAATTGTTTATCTACTTAATAGGCAATTCACTATTCTTGCCTTTGCTCTCCCAATCTGTCTGCATACTGACATTTGCGAAGCTCCTGAAGAACAAGTCTGAGAACAGAGTGAGGTAGAGCTTTCCGGTATCTGGATGCTTTATATCCTGCTGCTACGATTCAACATATTCACCCTCTACAGGTACAGTGAAGGAATCCAGTTTTACTGTGAAATGCACTAGAAGTTTTTCCAGCCTCACATGAAGACTAGAAACCAAGGGTTCTTTACTCAAATTAGGTAAGACAAAATTTTAGTAAAGTTACCACTTTCTGCTGTTTGAAAGAGGAAAGGATCACTGAATACTCCAACACCAGCACTGTTCTCAGCAGCAACCTACAACACATCAAAATAGTTACATTAGAGATTTTAGAAGATATACAAGGGCAGCAACTGCATCAGACAAATACATAGTGCAATCTATGTTTGTTGAATTATGCCCTTATTTACCTGAATCCAAGATTACTTTGAATTCAAGATGACCCCCAATAATTTGATTCTAGACACAGAAAAGTATAAATTTGTTATAATTGTCCACGTCTAGAATTTAATTATTGGAGGGTCATTTTAAATTTGTAACTTCCTCCCACTGTTGTGGCAGGAAAGCAACAGCAGGGATGCAAACAGTACAGAAAGCAGAGGTGAGGGGCCAGGTTGGGGGGAGAGCAAGGGCAGGGAGCAGGCGACAGGTAGTATGGGGAGCAGGATGCCTGACCCCTTCTCCATTGCCTCTGGTGTCTGCCCCCTAGCCCCCCGCCTCCTATGACTTACTCCTACTGCTTGCCTGCTCCTCTGCTGCTTTCTCCACTGCTCTGGGAGCATGGGGAGCCCTAGAGTCACTCTGGCCCTATGTTGCAGGAAGCAGCTGTGAAGGGAGCCCAGCTCAGCAGCACACAGGTTCCTCCTTTTCTGACCAGCTCCCGCCCCACTTCCCCTGTCTTCATCACTGGCTGAGAGCAGGCTGGAAGAAGGAATCTGTGTGCTGCCAAAGCTGCTCCCTGAAGCTTGGGCAGGAGAGGCTTTGGATCTCCCTCATGCCTGTAATAACTGAGAGCTGAACCACTGCAGCTGAGTGCTGTAGGGAGCCAGTGTGCAGGGAGTGTGGCTAGCTGGAAACTGTAGCAGTAATGCAGAGATTCTGCCTTCCCTGCCTGGCTTCCTGCCACTGAGGGAGATGAAGGGATGGGTGCCAGGCAGCAAGCAAACTCTGGAAGCAGGACTCTGCATGCTGCTGATGTTGTTCATGGCCTAGTCAGGGTCTCTGAACAGCTGCTCCTCAGCTCCCAGTGGTCTGATACTCAGTTCTAAGATGAGGCATTGTTTTCCCATGATGAATGGAGTGGGTAGGGGGGACTCATCTTAGAATTGAGGAAATGCAGTATTTATACAAATGAATACCTGTTTTTCAGCTAAACGGTTTCATTTACTTTTAAGGTACAAAACATTAAATATAATATTTCACTTTAGGAAAAGCCCTTTTACTTGCCAATGTCCATTTTCTCTTTAGAAGTATAAGGGTTTATGAGCAATTTCAACAATGTGTGGAATCACTGTTTGTGTCACGTGCGTGACCACAACATGGGTGGTAAGGCCTCAATATTAGGAAGATACAAGCCCAGGAGTCAGGAGTAGGCAGGGTCAGGTGACCAAGAATATCAAACCAGGAACTAGAATCATGGATCAAGGACTAGAGCTAGACACAACCAAAAACTAGCAGCCAGAAACTGGGAACTGGAAGCCAGGAACCTGGGCACTCGAAGCCAACAGACCAGGGACAACACAACAGAAGACTAGATAAGGAATTCAGAGCTAGAAACTAGGCACAGAACTGGGAAACATGGCATCAGGAAGGCACAGCAGGAACCAAAAGGGGAAACAGGAAGCCAGACCAGGAGCAAGGACTCAGCAGCCAAAGAAGAAGTCCTATCTTGTTGAGTATTGCAGGGGCTGCTGCTTATAACCCAGCAGCCACTTCCATGCTGGTAAGTGGGGCAATTAAACAGCCCGCTGCCCTGACTCATAATGCTTGCTTGAATGGCAATTTAATTTGTAAGAAGTATGAAAATCCCTAAGCTGACAGACCAAATTGCTGGCAGCTAAAAATGAAGAGTGGTCAGTCTGCCTATGCCAACTATTACTACTGGGGACAGCCACCAGCCCTTCCACACAACAAATTTAATGCCAAAGGCTCAGATTTGACAGTGGTTACTACACCAGAATTCTGTTTCACTTAATGAACCTACATGACACTTTACCAATTGCATAAGTGGCCCTTTTGGCATAATTTGTGATTCTATTACCCTCACAGTATGCATACAGAAGAATATGCATATATGCCGAGCGTGCTTAGCAGGGAGACAAAGCACTGGCCAGGCAGGTACATAGCCATGTATGCACAGTAGCTGTACACACATAAGTCTTAAAACTGTAGCTGTAGTCATGTCTGTTTACAATAGAGGAGGAAAAGGAAGACCCTCCTGTGTTTTAGCTTCAGGAGTTCAGTGGTTAGGGCACTTGGCCAGGAAGCCAACAATGTTAATGTGAAAGAAGAACCATCTAGGACACAAACTAATTCTAGAGATTTACAAAACTAAACAGGATTGTAGGGAATTACAAAAGAAACTAGAATAGCCAACTAAGGCAATGACAGTTGTGCAGAGGGCATACTGAAGTACACATGAGAAAGCATCATTTTAACTGCACTTACACATTGATTGGTCCTAGATGCACAGCAAGAACTTGGAAAAGTTTTCTAGAAATACTTATTGATGGCTGGCAGATTTGATAGATGATAGGATATATGACACGGAAAGAAAATAATGCTAAAGGCATTACAATATCAAAATATAAATAGATCTAAGGGTATGTACTCACCTTACTGGTATCAGTTTTGGTCACCACAAAAAAGATATAGTGGAAACAGAAAAGTTCCAGGAAGGACAACAAAAATTAGAGGCAAGAAGCATTTCCATATGAGGAGAAAATAAAACGATTAGGACAATTTAGTTTAGAATTGAAATTTATTATAGAAAAAGAGGAATTATGGCATTGTCAATAGTAAAGAGATTAGTTATATACACCTGTAAATTCTCTATCGTGATAGGAGAAAAATGAGACATGAAATTAATTTGAAAAAGCATCAAATTAAAAACTAATATATAAAAATAAAGATTTGCAGAATGTAAAATTAACTTGTAGAACTGTATCATAAAATATTATCATGGGAGACAACATAATTGGATATAAAAGAATATTAGACTTCATTAAATGAAAGCATCCTCTACAGTTAAACCAGCTAAGATAAATATTTATAAGGAATATTAATTCTTACTGTTTGAGTCATAAGGCTACAAGTAATTTCTTACAGGCAGGAAAGTCCCTGCAGACATATATTATTACGTAATTATCCATCTTGAGGGATTTTTATACCTTTCAGTAAAAGCCCCTGACAAATAATGGGTACCATGTCAATAATTTCTGAAACACCATGGCAATGGGTAAGTATCTACAGGAACGCATAACTGTCCACTGAATGGACCTGGTATAATAATACAGTGATCCTTTATGACTGAACTTCCACTTCATTTGAATAATAGACATTAATGTAATTATCATTGTCTACAAAGTTTTCTTTCCCTGTCAAGAAGGAAAATTAAGACTCATCCTACTGAAAAAAAAGGAAAAGTAGAAATATTATTTCTACTTAACAATAATAATGAACCAAATTACCTGCATCAGAGCCTACTACATAAAGGGGGAGTGCAGATCGACCTTCTGGGTGGCCACATGTATGAGGATGAGAAAATTTCCCCACATTATTAGCACTTTTATCTGCATACTTGCTAGTACTATATTGACCCAGATCCAAAACTGGGTCAGATCAAAAGGGGCCAGGAAGTACAGAGACAGTGGGGGGCCACAGTAGCTGCCTGCCCCCAGCTGCCTCATACTCGATTCCAAGGCAAGGGACTTCCCTCCCCCCCTACCCCCCATGATAAATGGGGACAAAACTTCATCTTGGAATCAAGTAAATATGGTAAGTCAGTTTAGTATTCCAGTCTTTGACATAATCTCATCCTGGACTAGATAACACCAGAAGTCCCTTCCAAACCCATGTTTCTGTGATGCAACCAAAGTATCATGTAGTCCAACCCCCTACACAGATGCAGGATTTGCTGTCCCTAACGCCATCACCAAACAGGTGTCTATTCAACCTCTTCATGAAAACAAACACTGAACGAAAAGCCAGTTTCCCTAAGAAGTCACCCTGAGAGGGGTATAAGCATCAGCTTTTTTATCAGATTAAGCAAAGAATCAATCTTGTCATCCTAGCTATTAGCTGCAATTAAAGGACCACAGCTCATCTGAATGAGAATGACATGCAGGTATAACAAATCAGAACTTGTTACTAGAGGGGATATGGCAATGATAAAGAGAACTGCCTGCAAGCATCAGGGGACAGAGTTTGGTCCATGCATCAGAGAGTGTAGCCACCGGTGTTCACGAGAGGAAAAAAACCCCATACATTTGGCTATGATGCTAAGAAAGATTCCTGTAGAAATTAAGGAATAGAATGTGCAGAAACTGTAATAATGAATACTGACTAAAATAGACACTGCTATGCTATTCAGAGTTTTATATCACACCACACCACATCTGATGAAGGGTTCATCAGTATTTTAGATGCAAAGCATCCTTCCATAATTTCTCTAAACTTGGTGGCACCCAGACTGAGAACCACTTGTACTGCCTGAGCTGTTCCCAATTGGGGTGCCATTGACGCTGACATTGCCAGGTAGAATTGCCCAGCATGCCTCATATAAAGTCTGACCAGAAAGGGCTAGAGCAGGACCTGATACATGATGTTCATCATATAAAATCACTCCTGCTGCAGCCCTTCCTGGTCTGACCTGCCTTCCCCACCATGCTCCTCTGACAATAAAAGGATACAATGCAGTTCTACCTGGCGGTGGAGTGGCAGCTTGGAGATTTATCTGTGTGTTTCCCTAGGCTGCTGCACCGCTGTTGGCAGGTCAAACTGTCCCACACACCTCTGTTCCCAGGATCACCATGGGGGGTGGGTCAGATTGGGAAGGGCTGCAGCATAAGCAAGCACTCCTGCCTGGTGTACTGTCTCAGGCAGTATACTTCCCCATCTGGCTCTGCGTGAGATATGCTGGGCAGTTCACCTGGCCATGGCCATAGCACCCATGCTATGGCACCCCTGAGAAAGGCTTAAGGCACCCCAGCTGACAACTACTGGCTTAAGGCCGAAGCAAATGGTCCTTTTTTCTTTTTTAACTAATAGCTGTGAAGTGAAAGTTTAGCTACAGTTAACTGAAAATCAAACAGTATTTATTTCTGTTGTCATAGATACTTTGACTCCCTTATCTATGTTGTTATTACTCCTAGCATTCACAACAAACGGCTTTCTCATAATGCTGGTGTTATTAAAATAAGCCATATTTCAATTTTTACCTTCTAATATGTATACAAAATATGAAAGGAATTCATTGCATTGTCTTGATCACAGCCTGAAAGACCTGGAATTTTTACATAGTCTTAAGTTGTATGAAACTGCAGCATATGAAAGCATTTCAAGTTTAACTCCTTATTCTGTTACAGAACTGGCATGTAAAAGCATTGCTGCCAGGTCCTTACAAAAAACAAGTAAGTGGTATAAAACAGCATGCATTGTCCCCTGCTCACAAATGTGGACAGGAGGACAGTATTTTATTTCGGGTCCATTTCATTAAGTCACTCATTATCACCGTGTTCAAAGATTATTTTTGGGGGGTGGGGAGGGTGAGGAAAGAGGAGTTTAAGAATATGTAACAAAGTTAAGGAAATATCTAGCTTGTATACACCATAGTTATGGGAATGCATTTATTGATTAGCAGTGGAAATTCACAGTGATATTTCAGGAAATAATTTTAATGGGAAGGAAGAGTAATACAGCTAACTTGAATTTTAGGGCATATCAAAGTAAAACACCATGGTTTAAAACACCAATTCTCAACCAGAGTGTTGAGAATTGTGTTAAGTGTGCCATGGGCTGCCACTCAATATTATCACTCTTACTATTGCTATGCCATGGGGTGCCACTCTGCAAACCCAGAGATTTCAAATAGGAACCCCTATTTTAAAATCATTCTGACCTGTTGTAGTCTTTCTGAGTTCTTAGTCAAGAGACTATAAGCTGAGAGTTGGTATTTCCGTGGAGTGCCTTGAGTCTAAAAAGGTTGAGAACTACTAATTTAAAGAACCACCTAATGGTTTTAGAAGCAAGAGTCTCTTTTTCAAAAGTAATGTAGGAATTTAGATTAAACACTTCTGAAAAAATTACCCTTGATTTACTATTCCACAGAACATTACACATCAAGTAGGATGATAAAAACAAAAACATATTTATTATGTTTTGATGTGAAAACAGTAAGCTTTTTTAAAGAGAATTAGAACAGTTGATTAAAATAATGTTAGTATATTTATTATATTTATGAGGTAATTAGCACACACATCAGGAAAGTACTGTGTGTGCCTACTTTAATCTGAAATATATGAAAACAAACAAAATGCAAAGTACAAGAATGATTTAATACGGATTTTACCTTAATTTCATAAGTTGTTCCAGGGTTAAGATTGGTAAGAAGAACCTCCAAACTATCCGGTTTTGCTGTAACTTCTGTATAAGTAGTTTGCACCCATGGACAGACCTCCTTATATTTAACAATGTACGATATAATCCTCCCATTAGGACGTGGCGGTGTATTCCAAGAGAGCAGAATTCCTGCAGAACCCACTCTTTCACCCGCAAGGAACACAGGGGGTCCAGGATCTATAAAAACAAGTCTTCAATTAAACTGTCAGATAGCAATTTGTATAACTTCCTATTTAGCATATAAAAATAAAATAATTTGCCAGCATAAACTTTTAACGCTCCTAAAGTCCTAACCCTCTGTTAAATAAAAAGCTTCTTTCTCCCTGGATCAGTCTTGAAAAAGGTGATTAAATGCCTTGTGAAATACCAACAACATTCCTTTGTAAGAATGCAAATAATGGAATGCTCAAAATCTTGACAAACAAAATAGAATTTGATGTTAGTCCAATTTCTAAGATATATTATGGCAGCTTACTTAGATTCATGTAAACTACACTGGAATTTGTGGCACTTTATAATGTATGATTCTCATCTACTTGCCTGAGAAATATCCAGTGCAGATATGTGAATATGTAGCTTGTAGTGTTTTACTTCATGATGCAAATAACATACTAAAAAGTATGCATTTTTGAAAACGTATCTGTTCCTAACAAGCAAGCTAAAGAATGAATACAACTGGCAATCATAATCACCTTTAGCTTTTTTTTTTTTCAAGAAAGAGGAAATTAGAGTTCCCCTTTTTTTTCAAGAAAGAGGAGCTCTAATTATCTCCTAGATCATTCCTCATTCTTATCTATATGTTTTCTGTGTAAAAAATGACAAAAAAATCAGTTTAATATTTTCACAAAAACTAGCAATAAGAGTAGTCTTAAACTCATTCCTGGTTGAAACCTTTAAGGTAAGATTGTACATGTTTTAAGTAATAAAACAAATTTTAGTAGTTACCGAGAAGTGAAAAATCATAAGCAACTTACTGGTTACATTTGTTGTCACTGTTCTACTGACTGGTGAACTGTAGGCTGAGGAAGAAACTGAAGAAACTGTCACATTGTATGTTGTTCCAGGAGTAGTACTAGAAAAATCAGCCTAAAATACCAAATAACTGTATAAGCCTTTTGCCATGATACAAATAATCAGGAAAAAAAGCTTTTAAAGCAATATTATCAGTCAACATTAAGAAAGATTATGTGATGTAATACATGTTAAAATAATAAAAACAGTAGCTTACATTTGTTTGCTGCAGTATAGCATTTTGCAATTGTATTTAAATTACCCACCATAAGACTTGTATAACATACAATATTAAAGAACACCAAAAATAACTATTAATTTTATTACAGAATCAACTGTCTCTATCTGTCTGTCTATCTGTGGCTTTCTGTAGCACCCATCACTTAAGTGACTCAGCTACAGGAAACATTAGAAAACTCTACTTTTCTGAGGAATAAAAATATATGGCTGTTGAAAAACTTCCAAGTTTCCAGTGTTTAAGCTATCTTATCTTTAAAATAAACATCATTCGCTTTAAGAGTAAATATTTTTTATGAAATACCTGTGGTTTTGCAGTTCCAATAAAAAACAAAAGCAAAACAACCAGAAATGCCATTATTATTGTTGTTATATTTTTCCAGACAGGAGAATCAAAAAGTGCTCCTATTTCTTTTTGATGGCTTACCAGGGAAACGTTGCCTGCATTAATGATTTAAAGCTAGATCTTCCTCGCAAGTACACAATTAATGAGCCTGTATTACTCAATAGCTCTGCCCTTCCTTTGTTAAACTATTCATGAACCCTTGGATGACTGGCTGCAGGTTTACAGCAGACTTTAAAAAGACAAAGTGCCATACTGTTGTTAAGGTAACAAACCACAGATGCTGAAATTTGCTCGGACAAATTTGGCATTAGTATTTTTGAATTATTATTCTGTTAAAACGCTGAAGAAGCAAGTTGGTTATTTTTCCTAGCCGCACCATGCTTAAACAGAAGTTGACAGTACTATAATAAAAATTCACACCTGATACTGCCCTCCTCCAAGTTCTAGGATAGTAACAAAACCATGCTCAGGAGTAAGATCCACTTGAAACCTGTCTACATGTCCATAGGGTAGTCTCCAGTGCAGAGAAAAAAAATATGATGAAATGTTAAAGGCTCTAAGTCCTTCTGGTTTTGCAGGTTCTAAAAGAAAATTGTGGATTAAGAACAAATTAATCTAAACAAAACTATATGAAAATGCATTACTGGTTACAATGTATTATAAAAATGTCCATCAACAGTTATATAGTGGGTGAACCAGATATAAGGTACTGACCCTTCTCTCATCACAGCCAACAGCAGAACATTGGATTCTATAGGATGAAGTTACACATTACACTTAGATCATACTAAGGGTACTTAAACCTCAAGCATCCACATGTTAAAGTTCATTAACTCATGCTAAGTGCCCTCTGCCATCTCAAAGTTATGCACTTCAGACAAGGGTTAACCCTGGGCTATGCTACCTAAATCATGTCAAGGTAATTTCAGCCTGCTCCATGGAGATAAACTGCACAATTTGCAGTCCTCCAGCATCCCAGGATTCACTATTCCCAGCTCCCCCCAACCCAGAACAGGGATGGAGCCCAGGTGTCGTGGCTCCTTGCTATACCTCTACTATTTCCCTGTTGACACATTCTTCTGTTCCTGCCAGACTTAATTATCCAGAATAGTCCTACCCATTTCTCTCTGCCTTCCTAATGTTCCACCCCTTTTGCAAACAGGTCAAAATGGCGCAGACAAGTTCCCAATCCATGATTCGTTTTTGTTATTCCAATATTTCCTGTCATGTGTCGTGCTGAAGCTCCTAAAATATCCACATTGTAATAATCATAACTTGTGTGTTTCAAGGGATTTTAGTTGCATATTTTATTGTACCTTATTGACCAAGAAGATTCTAATCAATTTATGGTTTCTGACACAAAACCCCTCTCCGAATTCCAAAAAAAAGTCTCCTTAGTTGTATGTGCAGAAGGTGTGTAAGTTCATTAATGAAAATATCAAATGCTCTCAACACAATGGGGTCAATTTTAGCCCCCCACTTCTAACCTCACCATTCAATTCAGTGTATAACCAGTACAGGCAGGGTTGGATGAAGCCAGTCATGATGTAAAAGAAATCATGGAAGTGGAGATAAGTGCAAGTGGTAGCACTAAAAGTGTCCCAGGATCTGCACTGCTACAAAGCCCATAGGCAATCTGGAGAGAGGCTTGTTACAGCTAATTTTGAGGAACTCAAGCATACTGGATTCCAGTGGGTATAAATGTAGTATACAGTCATTTTTGCTTGCCAGCCTTAGGCTGCATATCTTAGTAGGACAGTACACATCCTTGCCACAACATTCCAGTTTGGAAATGGAAATTTCTTTGCCTGAGTTGCATGCTTATGTGGCATTCTTTATTGCCCTAGTATTGGATTTGCATCTCTGTAACTGAAGCAGAAATGCTAACACCAACAGGATTACGGAGGAGGCTCAATTAGAAAGAGTACATTATATGTAAGGGCCCAAATATGGACTCCAGTGCCAGGCTTGGCCAGACAGGTTTGTCCCTGTGGGCACTGGTGATGCGTAGGGGTTGCATGTGGGTGCACATGCATGCCCTAAGATTGGCCGTGTTCCCCCTGGAAGTGCCAGCTGTAAAACCGACGGAAATACACTTCCACTTTTGCCACTGGTGGTTCCGCGCTCAGCAATCAGCTGCTGAGGAACACCCCCCGCCCACCATTGGCAATCTGGGACTCTCCCAGACTCAGGAGGCAACAGTCGCCCATGCCTGTGGGACAGCGGACAAGGAAACTCTTCCCAATCTAGGCCCTGCAATAGTTATAGAGACACTTCACAAAGTTTATTCCAACTTCCTCAGCGGACAATTTACATACAACTTACATGCAAATGACATGGATGAAGGAAATTCTGCTAAATGAAAAACCCACTTTCTCAGCCTACAAAGAAGACAAACTCTCCACTATTGAGAGCACACTCTTCAAAACAAATGAAACTAGCTCTTTTGCAGCAGGCACAGAAGTGAAGAATTAGATTTGTCAAGAAGCAAAGGATTAGATTTGTCCAAAATTAGTCACTCAATATACAAGATAATACCAAACCCTGAAGAATTATCATCTAAATGGTTGCTTTCCCTTCTGGAGTATGAAATTACAGAAACTTTACATTGAAGGTCACTTATAATTATAAATAGCATGAACAAATTTAAATTCTTGTGCTTTTTTTTTTTAATACACTAGCCTAACCTAATTTCCTTGTTCATTCAGGACAACAGCAGAGGATCTGGGAGGATCTGGGGGAGCGGCTATAGCCACCCCAAAATTCACCTTAGGCCCCGCCCCCCATAGCCAGCCCTCCCAGCACTGCCCTTACCCAGCCACCCCCCCAGGCCGTCACCGCCCACCCTGAACAGCTGAGCCTAGCCCACTCCTGCTTGCAGTGGTGTGGCGCTCCCAGTCCAGCTGAATAAGTATGTTTGGCCTGAAGATGTAGAGCTCAAGCTTCCTAATTTTATGTCTAGCCCATGTCAGCCCACCATCAGGAAGAGGATGGCGCCCCCCTGGCCAACAGTAATAGCCCTCAAAAAACCTATAGATCTATATCAATATCCATGCCAACTAAAATATATTTAATATCCAGTTTCTGTCTCTGTTCTATAGATTTATTTTTCATTTATGTTTCTTATAGGTGAACTTCAACTCACATTAAGACTTCAAAGTATTAATAGCTTTTGTGTAGCATTACTAATTTTAATGGTAGTCTATGGGAGGTTTAGAAAAACTGATAGGACTCAATATTTTGTAAATAGAAACCCCGGTTCTGCCAATCCTGAGGTTTGTGAGTTACTTTTAAGCATGTAAATAGTCCCACTGTATTCAAGATGACTACGGGTATACCTGCTTCCTAGATAAAGACTGCAAAAATCTAATATCTACCATGCCCTTTCACTATTGATAGACTGACATTGGAGCATATTGCATCAAGCCAACAGACTGGTACAATATATATTTTACTGTGGAAAAAGCAACAATTAAGAGCAAATAATTATGAAAGAGATTCATTATACTTAACAATAATTAAATCACAGTTAAATCAAGAGTATACTGAAACTGCAACTAGTAAAAATTCGTATGTAAGTCCTCTGATCGCAATCTAACCTGCTACAGACAGAGATAAAGAACAAGACTCCCTCTATCTGGCATCAGCTAAGGTGAATAATTACTGTGAAACATGACTGCCAGTAGCTGGCACACTGAAATTTGATTTCTACATGCAGGAATTGCTTGAAAGACTTTTATAGTTTTCTTTCATAAGAACACACATTTTTCTTCAGTGGTTTAATACAAAAAAAGGAGGGAATATCTATAAAATACTCCACAGGAAAGGGTATCTTAAGCCTCCAGAATAGTAAAATGAACATCAAATAAATCTTCAACAATAAACCAAACCAATCTTAAAAAGATAAAACAAAGATTATAACCTGTTATATATACCTGAGTATGTATACCCTTGATATACTTCTCAAAAAAGGCCAACAAATGGCAGGTAGGAAAGTCAGACTTGGACAAGAGTAAAGGCAGAAAGGTGCTATAGTTTCTAGTTACTGTACAAACAATATGAAGCAGTAAGGTATTCCACTTTAATGGACTAAATAAAAGCACAATAGGTATGGCTTTGAGAATCATGTTCTTTTCATTAGCGTACGGAGATCAGGAAATGCAGAGCACTAGATACTCTGCAGTGTGTTAATTCAGCACTCATAATTAAATCAAGAGTACACAGGATGAAAGAAGACCTGTGGAAAAAAAATCAGGCATAAGTTCAGAATGGAAATTCTCTTCTTAAAAGCCTAGTCTGGGTTGCAGTGACAGAGGAAGCCAAAAAAGAACTTGATTTGGGAAGGACCTAACTTGACCCACTACTTTCAATGAGACTGCACACAGTGCCTCAAAGTTAAGCATACTCATAAGCCTTGGAGGCATCAGGCAACATATTAGAAAAATCAAATCACAGCTTAAAATTGCATTTTTCAAAAACTACAAAAAAAGAGACTCCCACCACAACATGCTGCAGAGAGTGCTGTGGTACACCATTCTCTCTAGGTGCCCAATACTAATATCCATGCACCACTGCTAAAGGCAAAGCACTGTAAGCTGCTCCAAAGCACTGGGTCTTTCAGACTCAACTCTTAGTTCATTCCCACAAACACTCAGAAAATCTAATGAATAACAAAGGATTGTTGTACTCAGGCTGCCAGAAATCAATGTTGCAACTGCTGTTGGCATGATGACAAAAAAAGTTGCTAAACACAACAGGTCAATAAATGTCCAGACAGCTCAATGCACAGGCCTGACTGACAGTGACAACCAATACCATGAATATTTACTCAAGGCCTCTCACAGGCACAACCTAGGTTTGTCCTGAATGAAGAATCTCTTGCCAGAGTCTGATATTGGGCTTTCCCTATTGCCCACTGCTTGTCTCCTGACTACTCCCCAGCTATGGCTACCAGAGACCTCACTGCTAGCAAAGGCTGTTTTCCAGCCCAGCTGTCTACCTGTCAGTCCTAGTTCCTACCTTCCTACAGTCTTCTATCCACAACCAGATCCCTCCTGGTTCCAGGCTTTTACTATTATTTGCTAGTCATTTGTAGCTCTCTCCTGAGCCAAGTTTTCCTCCAACCTATTTCTTCTGCTGCTTGGATGTGGCATTAGTAGTTAATACAGTATCCAGTAAGGAGCCAGCAGGTTCAATACAACGCATACACATTTTTGCTTCCATGTAGTCCCCTATTTAGAGAAAATAATGAAACAGTTTTGCTGGTTTTAAAAGTTACAAAAGCAGTCAAATAAGAACCATTTGCTTTTATTTTTTGTTTACATAAAACTTGGGTAGCCTCATGCTTTATTTTCAAATCCAAAAGGTATTTGTTTCATGCTTGATTTTTGTTTCATTTGCATTACAAATAGTTTTACTGCTTTATATCAGGTTGCACAAGCAATACAGAGGACAGAATTTATGCTATATAATACTTTTATGTAAAATATATGTTTTATTAGTTTTGTCCAGGAAAATATGACTCTACTTCTTATACCCACTTTCTCTAAAGCATTAACTTAATGTTAAGCTTCTATACTTTAAAAACAAGGCTTTTGTTAGCTTCATTATCTATAGTTAGGCCCTCTCCTTACAGTCATCTCTTCACCCAAGTTAAATCACTCCTGATTTACATTGCCATAAGGAAGAATGGAACCACATTCCAAAGGAACGATTTCTGGATATCTGAAACTCTGCCTTCAACTACTCTTCACAGGACTGAGAACTGATGTTGGACAATCAAAGTATTTGCTTTTTTTGTGTAAATTCCAGCCCCATTTCTTTAATCTGTTATTATGTTACTATAATTGATGTATAGGATTTGACATTTTAGCACTAAAAGTTAATTTGTTCTAATTTGAGTTTTATAAGCATTCTGGTATGCTTGCCTGAAGAATGCTATATAAATGCAAATCACATTGTATTGTAATAAGATGAGAAATCAAATCATCATAACTTCAATATAGTCTAGTAACATTAAATGAAAACAGCTCCAAGGATTTTTTTTCTTTTTATAATTACTAGTGAACTCAGCATCATCAAGTGAAAGAACGTAAGAGAGTTTCAGATTTATTTAAGATTTTATTGCTATGTCTTTAAGGTGCTTCAGTTAATGTTTATGCATTCTGTCCAATTGTAGCAAGAAACCCTTTTGTCTGCCCCCCTCTCAAATGTGAAGCTCCACCATATGGCAGAAGCCCCTCTTTTAGTATTTGCCCCCTTTTGGGGATGCTTTCTCTTTTCTACCTTTTCTTCCTTCCTCTCTCTTTTTCTTTTATCATTATCATTATTATTTTTATAAGGTGTATTTATAGTGAAAATAGAGCTTGTAGGTGCTTTTACAAATGTACTTTAAGTTTAAAAGTAAGTTGTACCATGTAACAATGTTAGCAAGAGCAGGAATCTCTGTATGGAGCAGGTCCCTGAATGAATCATGGTTGATTGTGTAACACAGTAGCTAGTCTGGATAAGTATGTTAATGAGTGGCAATGAACACCTACAAAATCAGAGACCAAGGAGAAGAAAGAATCAATAAAGAGCCAGGAATTCCTGGAAACGTCATTGTTAAAGGTACAGAAGCCCCCGTTTGAACTAATCAACGCTGGAAACAGACCTTTGGGGTTGAAATACCCCTGATCAACCACTTCCAGAGCTCTATTCATCATGGCAGTGAATCAATCAAAATTCATCAATGGACTCCTGAGACTGCACATACGTGCGGATGTGCCCCTGGGGCTATCAGCTGCCATCCAGCAGCCACCAAGAGGGACGTCCCTCGAAGTCAATGACCCCTGGATTGAGTAAGCCCGAGAATTGGGGAGTAACTAAAGTCTGCCAGAGAGGGATAAAAGGCAGCGAAGAATGAGCCCAAGGGCTCACTCTTTGGCCTGACCAGCACCCTGCCTGTCCAGCCAGAAGGACCAGCCGGCGACCCCCTTCTGCAGCAACATCACACTGAAAGAAGCCTTGACTGACCATCGATGGCAGACTCCAGTGCTTGGGGTAGGTATATCTTGACACCAGTGCTTAGTGTTCAGAGCTAGCTACTGTGAGTGGGTGTGTGCGCGCATGAATGTGTGTGTTTGAGAGGATCAGCACCAAGGTTTATGGTCTGACTTTTGCATCCATCCAATAAACTAGAATTTTATGATGATCCTGTGAGTTGGTGCTTTGTAGCCCAACACAATGACTGTTAATGTGGCACAGAAACAGTCTTTGGCACAGGAAAGAGAGCCCAGGTCTTCTTTCCCTTCAAAGGCCACTGGCTCTAATAACTGTGCAAGTCATTCTCCCACTTGCTCAGGCCTTCTCGCCAATGAATTTATTTTCGTACCATAGAACATTTACAATAGAGAGGGTGGATATCTCATCTAGCCCATAATAAACTCTCTAGCCTTGTGTTTAAAATACTCTATAGGGAGATAAGAGATGTAGATTTGTACTCCTCAGAAAAAGGTAAGAATTTACCCAGGTTTCCAATATCCTGGATGAGTACTTTACTAAAACAGGGCTGTCCACCTAGCAGCCTATGGGCCACATGCAGCCCAAGGGGTTTATCTGCATTTCCAGGCTCCCAGTCTCCCATCAGCTCTGACTGCTGCTGCCACTAGAATCTCCAGGTTCTCCTTCCTCCTACAGCTTCTGCTTCCTTCCTCTGCCCTGGAGGTAGGATGACGCTGGGTGGCCTATAAGGCTGAGCAAGCCTGTAGCTGAGCAATCAGGGGACTACACAGGTAGAGTACTGGGATATGTTTCTGCCCCACTGAATAGAAGGGCCCAGGACTAGCACCAGGAGTCCCACCTTATCAGGGTAGCATCCAGTTTATTGAGCCACATACCTCCTGACTTGTTCTCTTCCTTATATCCCTACATATCTCCCTGTATTAGCCAACCAGTGAGCCAGCTTCAGGAGGCTACTAGGGAGAGCTCTTGACACCTCTCCAGTCTTATAACATTGAGTCATTGCAACCAATTGAGTGGCCGAGGTAGTTACTTCTGATGTCACAGTATTCTCCCCTGTTTATATTTACAATCTTACCTGTGATTTTTATTTTACATTATATTACAGTGGAAGTAAATCTAAGCAAACATCAGGGAAACACACAGTTAGAAGTGATATCCCACCACTTTTTGAAAACAACCCATGAAGGAGATTTCACAACTTCACTAAGCAGCTTCTTCCAATGTCCTACTGTTTTGACAATGAGGTTTATTTTTCCTGAGATTTTTATCTGAACTCTTTAGCTGCAGTTTAAACCCGCAGCCTTGTGTCCTATCCTTTGTGATATGAAAACAATTGTTCTCCTTCTTTATGGCAGTCTTTCAGATATTTAAAACTGATATTAATGCCTCCCTCTTAATCTCCTTTTCTCCATATCAAACACACCTAAATTTCTAAGCCTCTTTATCCTCTCCCAGTTTCACAACACCCATCTTGAAACATGGTACTCAGAAGATTGAAATTCTATTGTGCTGCCATGTACTTCAAGTGCTGCCATGTACTTACAGATGTACCTGTAATGTTGTATCAATGATATATGCTAAGGACCACAACAAAAGATAATTTGAATTCATTCTTCAAATATTGCACTGTATAAGCTCTTGAACATTCCTCAGAATTCATCAAAAAATCTCAGTGTCCAGAATGACAATACCTATATTATTAATGTAAAATTAGATGGTTAACAATAAATATATATTGGTACTACTTACTTACTCATTTGCAGGTATGCAGGAGGAAAAACAGTGTACTAACCTGTTACAATTTCAATGTGCATGCTAGCTCCTTGAACACTTCCTCTTATTCTTTGTATTGTGAAATTATAAATGCCACCAGCAGTCAGACTGGTAACTGTGAATTCAGACAGTGCTCTTGAAATGTTATATTCTTTTATGAATGTGGTGTTTGACAGAAATGCTTTATAATATGTGAAATTGGTCCTTGTTGGATTCCACATTAATGCTGCAGAAGAAGTGTTGGCCATCCTTAATGTTAGACCACATATTGCAGCTGGTTCTAATTTTTAAAGGAAAAAAAAGAGATATAGTAAAGACACAATTTAGAATGAGAAGGAAAGTGCCCTTAAATGTTCATTACACTATTCAGCTAAAATCTCCACCTATCTCCAAACATTTTTCAAAGAAATGTTTCAAAGTTTCATAATATTATAAAAGTATAAACCTTATGAATATAGTCTAGCTGTGGATACAAAGTAACAGATGTGGATCTGCTGCCTATGGAGAGAGAGCAAGACCTGGGAAATGACTGTAGTCAATGTCATGTGTAGTATGTGTATCACAAAGTTTATATGAAAAGATTCCAGGCCTAGCTTTCATAGAACACTAAAGGATACTTAGAAGTGGTGAAGGATGAGAGTTTAGCCCTTCATTAAAAAAAAAATTTAAAAAATCAGTACCTGTTCCCACAGTAATTTAAAATTTAGAAATATATCATAGACAATACTATTTAATAAAATATTGTATTTATTCACTTAAAACATCAATATATCAAGCTATCCAGGGTCAGTGATCAGTTACCAAAAAGATAACCACAAAAGATCTCTTTGTGGTTACCAATTAATTCTATCATCTAACAACTTGTGCCTTATTACAATTAAATTAGAAAACATATTCTGAGATTTTCTGAAGATAAGCATAAACAGAATTATTTAAATTAGTTTACAGGCAGATGCTTCAAACTTAGTTTATTAGCATAATCCCTTTCAGAGCTTGATTATTCTGTATGAAAAATGGGCAGGGTTTACTATTAAAAATAAGGGGAAATGTATCCACAATTAAATCCTAGCCCAAATACATACTTCTCCTTGATACTCATGAAAATATTTACATGTGATATGACTCTATAAAGTAAGAAAAATGATGACTCCCTCCACAAGATGCATTTTGCATCAGTAAAAATCTCAAAAACTGTGGTTGTCTGTTCTCTAAGTAACTGGTTGATTAACTTCCCTGTGCTTTTAGAGAAAGCATGCTAAAGCACACTGTAGATTAAGGAGTTATGAGCCCAACAAACCATGCAAAATGTGTAAGAGGAGTGAGGGGTTCATAGATGTGTTCATTAAGGCTGGGCACTGGGGGAGGGTGATTTACTTTTTAATTAAAGCTGTCTGCTGTTTACCTGTGTGCAATACAGATCTGATATCAATCTACTTCTCCATGACTCCTCTCTAAACATGTCCTCCTTTTTTCATGCCATTCTCATAATAGGACCCCTGCCAGCTTAATGGAAACAAGATGTTTGCTCATGGTGAGCAAAAGGGAGCAAGATACGATGTTTACTCTCTGCAGCTGCTAAGCCATCTGGAGCAGAGTTTCTCTTCCCATTCTCCCAAGTACCACATTGCCCTGTACAGCGGTAATCCCTCAGTCTAATTTTCCTATTTTACAGGGATTTTTAGAAATATGAAAATATTTCAATACAAAGTACAGAATGATAGCAACAGCATCAAAAGCAAGGTACACAGTATTTAAAAGGTGTATTTTATATTCCAAGCTTATCCTCTTCTTTTAATATGTCTGTAACTGAGCCCAGAACTGTTAGTGCTGTCTAGGGTTAAGTATACACATTCAAAAAGCCCCTGGGCAAAAGCACTCTAATTATCACATTTTACTTAAAGTGCTATAAGTTAGAGAGAGAATGAACTGAACAGAAATTTGCTCTTAGGTGGGGTGAAAGGCAGGGGGGCTCAGTGCTTGCCTGCACTGGTCAAAGATAGCAGGCAAGGATGCTCCTGCACACCTCCCAGAGGCTCCTGGAGAGGCCCTTCTCCCTGTCCCCCCCATCAGCTGGTGACTGTCAGCAGAAGTGGAGGAGGTAGGGGGAAAGGGGGAGGTGAGAAGGGGAATGGAATCCTGCCTGGATCTAATCTGGAAGATTAGATTCAATTTGTCCCATAGTCTTCATTTTACACTGACTGATCTTCTCATCTTTTGTAACCACACACACTTTTTATATATACACACATCTCTCCCTCCCCCCCACACACTACATATATAATAACTGATAAAATGCAGCGCATGTGTGTGTGCTTGTGTGTATGCATGTAGTAACTGCAAAAAAAAAGAGAAGAAAAGAAAAACTATAAGTTATTTCCTCACTTGTATTAACTTTTTTCTCTATAGCTGTACTGGAATCCAAGCCATTGATTGTCTTTAACTGAAACAAGTACTCCATTCCAGGTATCAGATTTTTCACTACAGCTCTGTTGCCATAAACAGTTGTAGTAAATAGAGTTTCACTGCTTCTCAAATGATAGGAAAGCTGCAAAAGGAAAATGTATTTTGAAGGCAAACTTTTTCACTTCAGTGTTGAAAGATGCTAACTAATAGCTTATAACAGAAATAAACTATAAAACATATGATACTGTAAAGGCAAAAAGGTTTCCAAAAGATATAGCATTAAAGGTCACACATTTTGAATTACATTTCACAAGACTCTACATTTATTTTTAAAGAGGAAGCACTGTCTAGTAGATAGGGCACTACTCTAGGAGTCAAAAAACACTATTCCCTGCTCTGCTGCCCACCCTTTCAAGTGGATGCTTATCATACTGTACTTACCACACTTACTTCTGTGTGCCTTTTCAAGCCATCTTGCAAATCAAGTCTCTAAGTTCTTCACAGTAAAGCTAGCCATAATTATATACAAAGGTGTAATACAAGGGGGTACTGATTTCATTTGGAGCCTCCAAAGGCAACCATAATACAAATAATAAATACAAAAACTAACAATAATACAGCACTGAGAACCTCTTTCTTACTTTAATCTAGACTTTAAAAAGAAAAGATACTTGTTGGGAAAATTAAAGCCAACAGTTTTCATATGCTTCTTCTTCATGAGACCAACCACTTTACTCTACCTAACCTCCCTCTATCTCTCTATACATAAAGAAAGGAACATCTAAAACACCATTCCCATATAATGGGAGCAACAAGGATTTTGCCAGAAGATAAGATGTATTCCAACTCCCACTATCCAGGGAAACAATAGAGGAGGAATAGTCTTCAAATTGCAGTGACCAATAATTCTCTCTTGAAAAAAGAGCAAGTAAAAAAAATCCCTGTTCTTTATATTTCAAAGAGAAGGGAAATATTATGGTAAAATGCCAAAACCACTAAAAAAAACATTTCAAGAACATGAGGCAAGATTTCAATAGGATATGGTGGGTTGAAAGGAGAGGGGCATGATTTAAATTTCATTTTCCTAAAGTGGGTATCAGCTTCCATAAGCTTGGGAAATGTTGTTTTGTATGTCAGCAACTCAGTTATCTCCAAATGATAGTGTAAAGAGTTTATACTGCTTAAGCTTTTGATTTCTATTACTATTTACATTTCATAATAATGTATTAGTCTTTATATCATGGCAACTGAACAAAGACTTCAATAGGGGATGCATTTCCTAGGTACTTAATATGCACAGAGTATCATAAAATCATAGAAAGCTAGGGTTGGAAGGGACTTCAGGAGGTGATTTAGGTCCAACTCCCTGCTCAAAGCAGGACCATCCCCAACTAGATAATCCCAGCCAAAGCTTTGTCTAGCTGGGTTTTGAAAACTTCCAAGGATGGAGCTTCCACCATCACTCTGGGTAACCTGTTCCAGTGTTTTACTGCCCTCCTAGTGAGAAAATTCCTTCTAATATCTAAGCTAAACTTCCTTTGCTGCAACTTGAGACCATTGCTCCTTGTTCTGTCTTCTGCCACCACTGAGAACAGCCTAGCTCCATCCTCTTTGGAACCACCCTTCAGGTAGTTGAAGGCTGCTATTAAGTCCCCTCTCAGTCTCCTCTTCTCTAGACTAAATAAGCCCAGTTCCCTCAGTCTTTCCACATAAGTCATGCCCCCTCAGTCCCCTCAACATTTTTGTTGCCCTCTGCTGGACTCTCTCCAATTTGTTGACATCCTTTCTATAGTGGGGGGCCCAGAACTAAACACAGTACTCCAGATGTGGCCTCACCAGTGCTGAATAGAGGGGAACAATCATTTTCCCTGAACTAGTGCCAACACACCTACCAATGCAGCTCAGTATGCCATTAGCCTTCTTGGCAACAAGGGCATACTGCTGGGTCATATTCAGATTATTGTCCGCTGTAACCCCCAGGTCCTGCAGAGCTGCTGCCCAGCCAGTCAGCCCTCAGCCTGTAACAGTGCATGGAATTGTTCCATCCTAAGTGCAGGACTTAGCACTTGTTCTTGTTGAGCCACGTGAGATTCCTTTTGGCCCAATCTTCCAATTTGTTGAGGTCACTGAATCCTAGCCTGACCCTCTAGCGCAGGCTTGTCCAACACGTGGCCCGCCAAGCCGTTTTCTGACGCCCAAGGTGCTGAGATGAGAAACAAAAGTAAACACTGTTTACTTTCGTTCCATCCCCTTGTCCCTCCCCCAGCCCCTCAGCAGCTTCCTAATGGATGCTGAAAGGCTGGGGAAGGGACAAGGTTCCCACACACACTGCATCAGCTTGATGTTGCAGATGTGGTGCGGCTTCTCCCCTCGCCCCTCATTTCACGGTGTCTCTTCCTAGCCCCGCTCCTCCCTTCCTCATTTGCATACCAGCCCTGCCCCACGCTGGTCCCCACTGGCCGCGCAGGCTGGAGCAGTTCGAAGTGCAGCAGGTGGGTGGGCGGGCGCAGGGGTGCAGATGCCGGCTCAGAAGGATGCTGCGGCTGGGCCCGCGGGAGATGCTTCTGCCGCCGCTTCTGTGGCTGTGACTATCGGGGTGGGAAGCCAGCGCCGCTCCCGCCTCCCCCCATGCCCACAGACATTGCGCTGGGGGTGGTGAGTCACGGGCCCCAGGCAGGGAGGGAGCCCCGCTGGTCAGGCTCGGGCTTGGGCTGCCCCGGAGGAGAGGGAGCAGGGGGGTGTACCTGCACCCCCCTGCAGGGTCCCTGCATGTCCCCCTGGCTGCTGAGCCCAGGCACGCAGGTGTGGGAGCATCCTCGAGGCCACCCAGGTGGCAGGGAGGACATGGCAGGATCAGGTGATGCCCCTTGACCCCTGCACCCCCAGGCCGCAGCTGGACTGGACAGGCTGTGCGAGCACCCGCTCCTGCCCCCCCGGCTGGATGTCACCCCCAGAGAGCACCTGAAAATAAGAAATTAAAGATCTATGATGCTTTTCAACCAAGTATTTGAAGACTAGGAGGCATGAAACCATGGTAATAGAAAGCTCTGCTAACCTTTGGAAAAATCAGATCCCTGCAACAATTCTCTGTAGTAGATACAGCACAATGTCAACAGAGGTTTTGCATTCAAAAATGATTTTTATCCCTCTGTAAATTGTGGCTTTCCATGTGGACAAAGGCAAGGAATTAAGGGTGCAGCGGGGTGCTACGCTCCTCTCCAGCACTGCTAGGGGGTTGTTTAAAATAAAACAGTGCTACCAGACTAAATTGTTTTTATTTTGCATTTTAAACCACATTTCCAGACCCATTTCATTGTCACTTCCTGCAATTTCATTGGTGTCAAAGGTCATGTGACATCACTTCCTGATGTGATGCCGCTTCCTGTGAGGTCTTTGAATATGGCTCGCCAGCCCACTGGGTGATAAAAAGTTCATGATCCGGCCCGACACTCAAAAAGGTTGGATACCCCTGCTCTAGCATATCTACTACTCCTCACAGCTTGATGTCACCTGCAAACTTGCTAAGGGTGCACTCTATGCCATCTTCCAGGTTGTTGATGAAGACATTGAACAAACTAACCCCAGGACTGACCCCTGGGGCACCCCACTTGATACCAGCTGCCAACTAGACATTGAGCCATTGATTACTACTCTCCAAGCCCAATGCTCCAACCAGTTTTTTATCCACCTTACAGTCCATTCATCCAGCCCATATTTCCTTAGCTTACCTGCAAGAATGTTGTGGGATACTGGTCTCCCTGCATCCACAGAGCCAGTCACCTCATCATGGAAGGCAATTGGGCTGGTTAGGTACCCCTTACCCCTGGTGAATCCATGCTGACTGTTCCTAATCACCTTCTTCTCCTCCAAGTGCTTAGAAATGGATTCCTTGAGGATCTGCTGTGTTATTTTCCCAGGGGCTAAGGTGAGGCTGACTGGTCTGTAGTTTTCTGGATCCTTCTTTTTCCCCTTTCTTAAATATGGGCACTATGTTTGCTCTTTTCCAATCATCTGGGACTTCTCCTGATCGCCATGAGCGTTCAAAGATGATGGCCAATGGCTCTGCAATTACATCAGCCAGCTCCCTCAGTACCCTCAGATGCATTCCATCTGGCCCCATGGACACATCCAGCTTTTCTAAGTAGTCCCCAACCTGGTCTTTTCATCACTGAGGGCTGCTCACCACCTCCCCAAACTCTGCTGCCTGGTGCAGTAGTCTGGGTGCTGACCTTGCCAATGAAGATCCAGGTGAAAAAGGCATTGAACGCTTCAGCCTTTTCTGCATCCTCTGGCTCCAGGTTGCCTCCTCCATTCAGAAAGGGACCCACACTTTCCCTGATCCTCCTCTTGCTATGGACATACTCATAGAAACCCTTTCTTGTTATCCTTCACATCCCTTGCTAGTGGAAACTCCAATTGTGCTTTGGCCTTCCTGACTTCATCCCTGCATGCCTAAGCAATGCTCTTATATTCTTCCCTAGTTATTTGTCCAAGTGCTCAGTGGTTAGCTGTCCACAAGACAAACTACAGTTTAATTGCAATGTATGAAACTATAGTTTAATATTATAATATGCTTCTAAAACTAGCTGGAGAAAGCCATTGCCAAATGCTTCACAATGCCTTGGCAGGGTGTAATGTGGAGGACCAATTGTTGTAATATTAGGAGTTCTATTTCCAGATAAGTGGAGATCAATCCTGGCATACAGGTGACCAACTTGTACTGTAGAGGAAGAAAACAAGTACATTCTATGCCTGCTGCATCATCAAGCAATACTGTCACCCATCTTGAAGAAAGCTACCTATCAGTTATTTGAATCAAAGTAAAGATGGAAAGAATAAGAACTATGAAAGGTTAAAAGAGCAGCACAAGTATTAACTGACAGGATCAAGTATACTTTAGATTTCACTGTGGGTCAGATTCCTCAGAGGTCTTAGTGCCTCTCTACTGAAAGCAAAAAATACCTCA